TCGTCCTAATCCTGATCCACATCGTCGCCGTCGTCCACACGTCCCAGTTCTCGTCCCCGCCCTGGTCCTTCAAGTCGTCGCCGCCGCCACCGTCGTCGCGGACATCCTTCCACCCCCCCCATTCTTCTCTCGTCTTTCCTCACACCCCCCCCCACACACACACTCCTGAAACTGCAACGCAAATCTCCTCCTCCTCCTTCCTCCTCCTCCACCTCCGTACCCCAGTTCCCACACACCCTTCTCCTTCCCTTTCTCGTTATCCTCCTAGTGTTCCTCCTGGTCTTGCTGGCCTTCGACCACAGCACGTTGCATCGAAGCGCTCACAGATGGCGGAGTGTCGTTTTCGCATACGGACAGCCGCCCGCGGTGCACTGCGCTCTGGCCAACCTCACCCACTGGTCAAGTGTCTCCTCCTGCTCTCCCTGTCCTTACCCTGGATTCGCCGGCCTTCGGACATGGCCGAGCAAAGCGACCACAGTCACGGAAGGTCGATTTTGCAAATGGGCCACCACCCCCTGTGCACTGGTCTCTGGCGAGCCTCACCCAGTGGTCAGGTGTCCCCCCCTCCCCATCTCCGTATCCTGCTTACCCCCTCCCCGTCTCCTGCTCCCCGACCATCCTCCTCGCCATCATGCCACTATTCATCCTCCTCCCCCTCCTCCCCCCCTTCTCCATGCCCTGGTCTCCTCCATCCCTCTTCCACGTAAACAAATCCTTGCCGTCGCACCACCAGACGTGTCGCCGGGGCGCGCCGAACGTGCCGCCTGAAACTTCCGCACCGTGACGACCTTGAAGCTTGACATCTCCAACAGTTGCACTGATTGATGGCGGGCCGTTCTCAAACAAACAGAGGCTCTCGCCTTTGTGCTGCGCACGCCCGTTAGAAAAAACAGTTGCACACATTGAGGCCGAATCGTGCCCACAATGGGATTCTCGCCTGTGAGACACTACTAGGACATGTCGGACGAATGATAAAGTGGAGCAGCACGTACACGCGTGCATGGCGGTTCCTTTCCAATGTGGAGCTGCCGCCTGAGACTTCTTCAAGTTTATGGCTACAAGTAACCGCGATTGGTCTTTGACAACCTCCCCAAATAACGGTAACATGTTTGCGCGTGCTCATTGACGGATAATGACCCCAACAGTACGGGGAAAATAATGCTAATGATTCCCCCGCGGCGGCCACCGCTGATGATCGAGGGGGGGATAAAGATCCCCGAAGGTGATGGTTATGAGGGGAAGGACGAGAAGGGGAAGGACGATATGTATTACCAATCGAGATCTTCGGGGGGACCCCCCTGAACATTCAAGACTCACTGCGGACAAAACAACGAGTGTCACGGGCAAACGGATAGAGGGCGGTCTTCTCAAAGCGGGGCTATCGCTGGAGCGCTGCCCTTACTGTCTGGCCAACCTTGCCACACTCGCTATCCAGCTCGAGTGCTGGAGAGCAGCTCCTTTTCAAAACTGAGCTGGGGGTCCGGCGCTCAAGGGGGCGTTTCGAACAGGGAAAAGGAATACGCATGAGGACTTACGAGGGGAACTTGGGACAGGAGGGCGTCTCGCGGCATCGCCGTGCATCTAGGGCTGGGTCGGGCATCTCCCTCTACAGGCGGCTGTTGGGCGAACAATGAAAAATACTCAACAAAATACCCCCAAACATTCAAAAACCGTGTATTGTTTACTATGTTTGAATATTCCTCCTGTAGAGGGACAGGCCCGACTTAAATCTAGGGTTTACTCTCGCCGTCCTCCTCCCCCTCCCCCTCCTGGAGCGTAGCCAGGGCGCACCACATCCTTACTCATCCTGCGGTCCAGCGTGCGACCTGATGCCGCACGAGCATGAGAATAACAACCGTGAACCTCGCACTGAGCCCTCTCCCTTCCCGTTCTCCTCCTCCTCCCCCCCTCCTTCCCATCCTCCCTCCTCATCCTCCTGCTCCTCATCCTTCCTCCGTCGTCGTCGTCCTCCTCCTCCTCCTCCGTCGTCCTCCTCCTCCGCCTGCTCCTCCTCCGCCTCCTCCTCCTCCGCCTCCTCCTCCTCTTCCTCTTCCTCCTCCACTCCTCCTCCTCCTCCTCCTCCTCCTCCTCCTCCTCCTCCTCCTCCTCCTCCTCCTCCTCCTCCTCCCCCTTCTCCCTTTCCTCCATCTCCTCCGTTGTCCTCTCGGGCCGGGCGAAGGGGGGGGATAGCAAAGGGGTGGTTTGAGAACCAGCTCACGTAGCTGATTTTCCCGTCGCGTCCCAGCGACGGAGGCGGCCATTTATCGAGGAATGGGCCTCGGTGGGGCCGAAACCAGCTGCATGCAGCAGATTTCGTACCCCCCCTTTTCCCAATCCCCCCCTTTCGTCCAGCCCGGCCGATCCTCTCCTCCGTTCCGTCCTCCTCCCCTCCTCCTGATTGCCCCCCCCCCCCTTCCTCCACCGTCCCCCTTTTCTTTCCCCTCTTCTGGGCCCCCCCCGCCGGCTCCCCCATGTCTCCCTCCCTCCCCCATCCCCCCTCCCCCCTCCCCCCTCCTCGCCCCCGCCCTCTCCCCTGGCCTGGTGCGACACGTTCGTGATGGCGGGGTTCAGGTCCATCTTGCCGAAGGGCTCCGCCTGGGGACGCGCACACGCACGCACACCGCGCGGGGGAGGAGCGGGGGGCGTGGGGGGGGGCGGCGAGCCGGGCCCGCGGGGCGACGTCGGCACTCGGGCCGCCCGAGCCGTCGGCCCCGCGAGGAGGGAAGCGATGAGGGGTCCCAGGCACGATCGCGTCGTAACGAAAGCAGGACCGTTTTCGGCCTCGGGGGGCCCTCGCCGGGCCTCGGGGCCGTCAAAGAACGACTCGGGATGAAAAACCGATCCCGGGGCAAGAGTCGGGACTTCCAGGGACCCCGCAGGGAAAAATCAGGACGTCGCATGTCTGGGGAGGCCGAGGGGGAGAGGGACGGGGGAGGGGAACCAGAGGGGAGGAGGAGCACGGGGAGCAAGGTCTCGCCCCCACACGTCGCGTCGCCAACGTCCGCGGTGGGGAGTTGGGAGGGAGGGAGGGTGCAGGCGGAGGGGGAGGAGGGGGAGGAGGAGGAGGAGGAGGAGGAGGAGGAGGAGGAGGAGGGGAGGAGGAGGAGGAGGAGGAGGAGGGAGGAGGAGGGAGGAGGGGGAGGAGGGTGAGGCGGAGGAGGAGGAGAGAGGATAGGAGGAGGAGGAGGAGGAGGAGGAGGAGGGAGGAGGAGGAGGAGGAGGAGAGGGAGGAGGGGGAGGATGAGGAGGAGGAGGAGGAGGAGGAGGAGGAGGAGGCGGAGGAGGAACTCACGCAGCATTGAAGACCTGGTGACTAGACAAGAAGAGGATCCACGGTCCATCGGGCGGGCGATGGGAGAAGGCGGAATCCCCGTGTAGAAGAACCTCGCAGTTCAGGGAGAACTGGATGATGCAGCGCATGGCGAGGATCCGAGCCGACGATCGAAGACGGCAGCTCAGTGGGGTACCTGCACTCAGTCAATGACAGGCTCGAGCGGCAGCACGTGGTGATCAGCAGAGCGACTACTCGCCGCGTCCCCTGGCGCCGTCTCGAACTCCGGAGGCGTCGCTCCACGCTCAGGGTGGCCAGGCATCTCGCGATAGTCTACCAGTTCCGCCTCCAGGACAACGTCATCGAACCTCTTTGTGATTGATCGGCCTGGCGCACGGCTCGACGCGTATTGGACCGTCTCGGAGGCGGCCAGGACAACTCGAGGCCGAACGCGAAGACAAGCAATGCGATGGAGACACCCCCCGCCTCGTGGCCACAGGCGTCGCCTCGTCGAGGGCAGCCTTGCCGCGAGGATGACGGAAGGGACAGCCGCGCCCAGTGCACTGCTTGCCGAACCTGCACACCTCGATGCCAGGCGAGCGCCCTCGATCCACCGAGGAGGTGCGGCCGCCGCTCGGAGGCCTCCTCTGCCGAGCGTCGATCTGCCACCCAAGATCACCCCAGGCGACGGCAGATCTCGTCCGCCTCATTGCCCTGCTCGAGCTTGCCAGCACGCCCGATGCAAGCAGCCACCCTTGGAGAATCGTATGCGAGCTCATCAGTACGGGCACTCATATCAGCCATCCACTGCACCAAGGGCTTGGTGAGATCAGCCATCTTCACGCTCATGCCGTCAAGCATCGTCGCGGCAGCCGTGCCAACAGCAGGGGCACCGCTGTCTCGAACAGCCACAGAGACCGGCTCACCAAGCAGGGATATGACACAATCCTGCATTTTGACGCGAGTCGGAAGCAGCTCGCGCAAAGAGCGCACGTGCTCCTGCAGGGCCTCCGAGCGGCAGGTCTCGGAGCTCGCGCCGCCGTCGCTGCAATCGTCCACATCGTCTTCGCATCCATCGCGGGCTGACGGGGAAACCAGAGGGTACCGATACCGCTACTCCCGAGACCTCTCGCGGGGTACGTTCTGACCAGAATTTCGAAGCGAATCCAACGGTGGCGACGAGGGCCTCCACGGAGGCCCAACAGGGGGAAAACGGGCGAAGGGTGGAGATATGGGAATATTTTCCTCCCCCGAGCTGAAGAAGACGAGCAGAAAGACGTGGGGGCAGCGATGGCAGACGCGCCTTGGCCGCAGGGTCCTCCATGGCACCACGCAGAAGCGGAAGGGAAGAGTTCTGTGCCTCCACCAGCTGCTGGTACGCCTGTAGTTGAATATCGTACTGGGCCTGCGCGGACGCCAGACTATCGGGGATAGGCAACTCTGCTGCCGACGGGTGCTTTGCCACAGAACCATCATGCGCAACCGCAGAGGCCTCACACCAGGCAGGCGGCGCCGAAACAGATGCACAGTGACTGTCCGTGGGAGCTTTCAGGGCGAACTCCAAGGCAGTCGGGCCCGAGTGGGCACCAGTAGCACCGGCGATACCCCGGAGCAACCACAGCGGGATCAGCTGCGAACTCGCTGCCGCAAACTTTAGCGACGGACTTGGAGACACTCTGTTGCGTGGTGTGTTCGCAGAGAGGTGATGTGCGAAGTCGGTCTTGATCATCTTGTTGCGGAGCTCTGGCGAAACATCTTCTTCAGAATATCGTGCAGCCGCAGAAAGTCCTTCGAAGTGCACGCCAGTTCTTGTGGGCCAGTCCACGCAGCAGCTGGCAACGTAAAGCAGAGACCAGTTCGCGAGCGTCCGTCAAGGCAGACATGATTGCGTGACCGAGCAGGCGTCAGGAATACCAACGTAACATATAAGCAATACCGCAAAATCCGCTTCCGCCAACATGGCTACAGAAGACGAGAAGGATGAGGAGGAGGAGGCGGAGGAGGATGAGGAGGAGGAGGAGGAGGAGGAGGAGGAGGAGAGGAGGAGGAGGAGGAGGAGGAGGAGAGGAGGAGGAGGAGGAGGAGGGGAGGAGGAGGAGGAGGAGGAGGAGGAGGAGGAGGAGGTGGAGGAGGAGGGATGAGCAGGAGGACGAAGAGGAGTGCAGGCGCAAAGCCGTGCCACTGGCGCCGCCCAAAGAAAGACCTTCCAGAGACGCTCGCGAGGAGGCGGGACCCAGACATGCGACGCCCTGGCTTTCTCAGTGCGGGGTCCCTGGAAGTCCCGACGCTTTCCCCGGGGCCGGTTTCTCGCCCTGTGAATCGTACTTTGACGGCCCCGAAGCCCGGCGAGGGCCCCCCCCGAGGCCGAAGACGGCCACAAACCTCCCGTCCCGATTTTTTTACGACGCGATTCTGTCTGGGGGCGGGAGGGCGAGGGCGCAGGCAGAGGCCTCCCAGATGGGGTCGGAGTAGATGTGGTAGGAGGATCGCGCCGCATCGCCGATGCATCGCCGATGCATCGGCGATGCATCGTGGATGCATCGGCGACGTCGGCGTGGGGAAACATCGGGCTCCGCATCGAGCCGCATCGCCGATGCATCGGCGATGCGGCGCGACCCTCCGACCCCGTCTACAGTCAAAGATATGATTCAGAAAATGATCAATTCAGAAAGCTGGGCCAGCTTGTCAGAAGCTTCTTCGGGAAACGCTGGGCCAGTTTTGGGAGCCAGGAACGTGCACTACTCAGTTCTAGGAGCCCGAGGCTGCCAATCCCCCTTGAGAAAAACCGAGCCCGCTCTTTCCGGCAAGCTGGTCCCGACACGCTGGGCCAGCTCTTCCGGGGGCAGGTTTCTTAATCATAAGCGGGACCGTACAGTCGGGCCGCTGGAAGAAGGAACGCTAAAGAAGGAACGAAGCCCCTTCTTGGCCCTGTAAACGCCTCCGTGCCCCAGGAGGGCAGGTGGAACCGCACCGGAGGAACCCTAAGGAACATCGAGCCCCTTCCGAACCCGAGCTGTCCCTTATTTCAGCGTCTTGACTGTACTCCGACGCCATCCGGGAGGCCCAGCGCAGGCGCCCTCGTGGCTCCGAGGGGCCGGGCCGTCGCCGGCCCGATGCCGAGCCCGCCCGTCGGCCCCCCGCTCGGGCCGCCCTGCGGCCGGCCAGCCGCGGGGCCGCCTCCCGAGCCCCCCCCCCCCGACGCCACGGCCTTGTCCACGGCCTCGGCCCCCAGAGGCCTCGGCCCCTTCCCCGGGGACCAATGTTTCCTCCCGATCGCCGTTCTCGAGGGCGGTCCCGAGGGCGGACGAGGGTAGCAAGAGGACCGCGGAGATTGCCTCCCCGAGGCCGGGAATCACCCCGAGGATCACCCCGCGGCTGAGGACGGTCCCCGAGCGCCCGCGGCTGCGTCCGAGGACTGCCTCGCCGAGGCCGAGAACACGAACAAAAACCTCCAGGCGTTCATGGCCCGAGGGGGTCCGGGTCGCGCGGGCGATGCAGCCCGGACGAGGGCTGCGACCGTCCACTCGAGTGCGCGGGCGCCCCAGCGGCGGGTCGCGGGGCCCCGCGCGGGGGCGAGGAGCAGCCGGCTCGGGGAGGGGGAGGCGAAGGAGGAGCAGGAGCACCGCGAGCAAGACATGGAGGCTCCCTCCTCCTCCTCCTCCTCCTCCTCCTCCTCTCCTCCTCCTCCTCCTCCCTCTCCTCCTCCTCATCATCATCATCATCATCATCATCATCATCATCATCATCATCATCATCATCATCATCATCATCATCATCATCATCCTGCTCCTCCTGCTCCTCCTGCTGCTCCTCCTCCTCCTCCTCCTGCTCCTCCTGCTCCTCCTGCTCTTCCTCCTCCTCCTCCTCCTGCTCCTCCTCCTCCTCCTCCTCCTCCTGCTCCTCCCCTCGCCTCCCCGCTGGCCCCAGGGATGGCCCGAAGAGGCCCTCGAAGGCCAACCCCTTGCTCGCCGAACTCTCCCTCTTCACCCTGGGTTACAGTCGGACCTAGGACAGAAGAGCATCCTTCAAGAACACGAGACCCTCCGCCGGCCAAACTGAAGAACCTTCGAGGGCACCCTCCCCCAGAATGCACAAGAGCATCCAACAGACACGAAGAACATCAGGGTACCCTCCCCGAACCGACCTCGATCTTATACCTCGGTCTGACCGTATGGGCAGATCTCGGAGACGCTGCAGGAGCACGCCGAAAAACAGAAAGCTGAGATGGCCACCCTGCTGTCGGGCTTGCAGGTGTTGGCAGGCAGCTTCCCAGACCCCCGACGTCATGATTTTTTCACAACGTCGACCCCCAGAGCTCTGGACCCCTTCCCCGGGACCCGTTTCTCGTCCCTGAGTCCGTTTTTCACGCCCCCGAGGCCCGACAGGGCCCCCCGGAGGCCGAACACAGCGAAAACCCTGCCCCCGTGACTTCTTCGCAGCGCGGGGGGGTCTGGGCTCGCAGCGGTTGAAACGCTGGGGCGTCACAGCGTGGGGCCCCTCGCCGTCCCCGAGTGGGGCCCACTCGCCAATGCGTCGACGACGCGGCCACCCCCGTGCCCGTCCGTGGGCGGCGTGCGCCCAGACCCCCCCGGCGCGGTGCTGCCTCTCTTCGCGCAGCGTCGGCCCCAAGCCCAGAGCCCCTCGCGCTCTGGAAAAATCACGGCGCGAGGCTCTTCTCCATGTTCGGCCTCCGCGGGCCCTTGCAGGGCCTCGGGGCCGTCAAACAGCGACGCAGGATGAAAAACTGGACCCAGGCAAGGGGTCCGAACCTCTCGGGGTCGACTGTGTGACAAAAATCACGACGTCGGGGGCCTGGGAAGGTCTCGAGCCATCCTCGGGACCAATCTTTCATCTTGACTCGTTTTGTTGACGGTCCCGAGGCCCGGCGAGGGCCGCCCAAGGCCGAACATAACGAAAACCCTCCCGTTGTGATTTTGTCATGACTCGAGAGGTCTGGGAGAGCGGACCTCAGCCAGATGCTCTGCTCAGGCAAGGGTAGCCTTCAATTTCGGGGCGGCAAAATCCGCTTGCGCTGTGAGAGGCGGGCCGCTGTTCGACCAGGAGAGAGGATGGCGTTCGATATTGGGAATATGGGTTCTGCCACGCCGAACTCGGGCAGAACGAATTATAGGATAACGCGAGCAACGCTTTTCTACAGTTGGGTTGGCCACGAAGCACCCCCACCTGCAATACCGAAACCTACATCGCCGTTACCTGCGTCGCCGTGAACGTGTCTACTTATAGGGTTCGACGTCGTGCAGGCACAGAGGCTCTTAGGCATCACAGTGGACGCTTCTGGGCGGCGCGAGGGGGGCCAAACCGAAGCGCGCAGGCCGCTGCTATCGCATCGCATTCGGTGACCGGGGGGGGGGCCCATGGGCCCGCACCAAAGGGCCCTCCGGCGAAGGGTCATTCTTACGCGCGGTCGATCCCAGGGAGAGGCAGCGGACTCTCCAAGGAGCTGCACAGGGCGGCGGCAGCGGGCGGATTCCCCCTCCCAGCCAGAGCTAGTTGGGCGTGAATCGGTGGGTGGGCGATACCTGGGGCGGGGGGAGGAAGGTGCCCTTTCCGGGCGGCCCCCTCAGGGGCCCTAACGGGCCCCTTGAGGGGCCCTGGAGGGCCCCTTTTCTGCAGCTTGCGCTGCCCCACCATGTACGCATCGCCTCCCGATTACGCGAGGCCCAAGCTAGCTGCGCAGGTCCCCCTCCGGGCGGAGCTGGGTGCCCTGCTGCGGTGCTGCGGTGGGGCCCCGGGGGTCGAGACCACCCTCGACGGCTTGCAGAAGAAGTGGGCGCGAGCCATCCTGGGCTGCCGGCGGGGGCCCGGTCTAAACTGGGCGTTGTGCCCTGCCCAGCTAGGTTGGGAAATTCGGCTTGGGGCCTCTTGCTGGAGCTGGCCAATGATTGCGCGCGCTCGGCTGCTGATCCTACCAGTGGCGCATCCGGCGAGCGAGGGAGGCGGCGATGCGGTCTCTCGCACATCACTACGGAGATTAACTTGGGGCAGGGGACGCCCTGGCCGCGGCGAATGCGGCGGAGCAGCGGAGGATGGTGCTTCAGAGGTGCCAAAGGGAGGTCGTGCGGCCCACGCTGAGAGAGCACGATCGGAAACCGCTGGTGGCCGCCGCGGGCAGGCCGATGCCGACGTTGGGCATGACCTTCGGCGAGCTCCGACCAGATCTCTGGAGCTGGACGATGCAGGAGCTGCAGGTGCAGAACACAAGGACAAAAGAATTGCCGGATGTGAGCAGTGTGCCGGATGACGGGCGCATGGCCACCAGCTGCTGGGTCCAGGCGGGGCATCCCTGCAGCTGCCGCGGTGCTCAGCGTGCGGTGCCGAAGCGGACGTCCTTCACGCCCAAGTGGCGTGCGGGGGCACGGCGGAGCTCGATCTGCAGCCTGCGGTGCACGCGCGGGCCCCAGCGAGCGGAGGCGCACGCATGCTGGGTGGAGGAGGAGGAGGAGGAGGAGGAGGAGGAGGAGAGGAGGAGAAAAAGGGAGGAGGAGGAGGAGGAAGGAGAGGAGAATGGGAGGAGAAAGGAGAAATGGGAGGAGGAGGAGGAGGAGGAGGAGAGGAGGAGGAGGAGGAGCAGAAGGAGGAGGAGGAGGAGGAGGGGAGGAGGGGAGGAGAGGAGGAGGAGTGAGGAGGAAGAGGAGGAGGAGGAGGAGGGGAGGAGGAGGAGCAGAAGGAGGAGGAGGAGGAGGAGGAGGAGGGAGGAGGAAGAGAAAT